AAATTGGGTTTCTTGGTTAGGCCAAAACCCCTGCAAGCCAGAGCTTGCACTAAAGAAGACTAAAAAGTCTTAAAATCAGTGCGGCACTCCAAATTAATTCTAAAAATAATTTAAAAAAATGGAAGAATCCTTTAAATCACAGCTCTCTACGAGATTTCGAGATGTGATTTTARAGAATATGGAAAGCATGAAATGCATTTTCCAAAAAAATATCGAATGCACAGCATTTTCGTTTTGTAAAGTTCTTACTAAAAAATATTTTTTGCAATTACATAATTGAAAAGTTGATATCACACATGCTGGCTGCGCAAATYACTTTTTTGATGTCTTACACTCTCACTTTATTACATAAAGTTGTCTCCTTCCGTAGCATAGTGACATGGAAGATATAGAAGATGAAAGGAGGAGCCATGCACCCACCTTGCTAGAGAGGGAGGGGAACCAAGAGCCGGGGGATATAGAGCCACCCAATATAAACCATAACTCAGAAAATACAATTACACGCTTGTTGGTAGCCAAATATGTTTTATTTACAAATCAAAAYAAGTGTAGGTGTTTKTAACACCGTGGAAATTACAGATTTTTYGTTGTTGTATAGACGGAARSTACATACGGGTCCCCAACTGATTATCTCAATTCCTAACATTGATTTAAGCTCATGACATCACTTCCGTTGTTTTTTGGAGCTCAATTGACATGCGTTGTAGTCACCATACTATCATTGATATCATATGAAAAGATGCTCGATGTTTCCTAGTTGATCTTAATACCCACGAGTTAAACACGTGCTGTGCGACAACACGACTCCRTGTATTTTTCTATTCCTTTTTGAATCACTCACTTTGAAAGTGAGAGCGCAAAATCCGGCAAATTGAAGGATTTCGTCTGCCTAGAACTTCCTCTGCCTAGAGCTTCACAGTTTACAAATTTTTGTGAAAAAAAATAAAGCTTGTAGTCCCTCGATTTTGCCATTGCTAAATATTTTTTTGAGTCAAAACACTAACCTCAGCCGAAAGTTATATTTTTGTTACTTCAAGGCACATGAGCAAATGTTTGTGTTGTGGTTAATGTTTGTTGGCTTAACTTTTTTTCTTAGTTCAAACCGCAATAGTCTTGCTTTGTACTTTTAATTTAAGGAGGTTTTAGTTTTGAAACCGAATTTCAAGGCCGTGTTATGATTTTCTTGTCTTCACACAACAATGCAGTATCCCCTAACCCTCTGTCACTCCACACGTCACATTCCACACGCATTCGTATTGGTATATTATTATTTTTTATGCTTTTTATCACTCTCTCTCTCCACAACTATGTCATTCTCTACCAGTACACACTTATGTAAACCTAGAGAATTTAAACCTAAATTATTATCGATATGTTCCTATTTTTTTCTTTTTTTTCTAATTTCTTTTTATACTACGTCTCAATCTCTCTTTATATTATAGGGGATAATAAATTGTAGTGAAAAAAAACAAATATTTCGCCCTTAAAAGCAAACCACAATTTACTTCCGATGCATATTTACACATCGTATACTAAAAAAAGGCRTATTACTTTTTTTGGAAAATGATATTTTCCTCAAAAGTGGCCTTAAACAATCTGATTGGTAGGATTGCTTTGGCGCCAAAATTGTAAAAACCGATTTTTAAAAAAATTGAATACTTTTTCAAAATGTTAATTCAAAATGAATTGTTCAAAGTTATCGTCAAAACCTAAAAGCCTAAGCAATCACTCGTTGATGCCTTGGTTTTCAAACTTTGTCACAAAGAATTCAGCTTTAAAAAAATTAAAAAAAAAATCGTGACAGCTGAAAGTCAGTTTTCATCTT